TATATATATCAATGTAACATGTATGGGAAATTAAATAGCTGAAGGGACACAAGATATTCTCAGCTTTACATCTATGCCTCCAGCACTTGCATAGCAAGTGAACTGAAGGAGCACACTACATTAATCCTACTTCTAAAGCTACCCTTCCCAGTCATTGAGTCTACCTATTTCTAGTGCTTCCTAGTCAGCTAATTCCTCTTAATGGCTCTGGCACATCTGACCCAAAGAAGTAAAGAAACAAATGCTTAATGTACTTACCTTCAACAGTAACTGATATTTAGTGAGTCGTTGCACTGGTTTGAGTAAATAGGAATCCAGACCAAGTCTATGTTTTAATTTTCTTTGGCATTCCTGTCATTAAAATATAATTATCAATAAATTTAAATGAAGACATATACCTGTGAAAATGCCAAGTGTTCATTGATTAGACCCAATGATTACTGTTTTCTAACATCGCAAGGAAAATTTATCAGAAAATCACTGTTACATATGGTATGGCCATTAGTAGTGCTATACCTGAAAAACTACAGAAAGTGGGAGGTGAAGGCAAGGTTTGAAAAGAGAAGGTTTAAACAGTCTGTTTAAGAAGTAATTAGATACTAACAAGTGCTGATGAAGATGTGGAGTGTAAGATGGTGCAGCAACTTTGGAAAACAATCTAACAGTTCTTCCAAAAGTTAGAGTTACCATATGGCCCAGCAATATCACACCCAGGTATATGGCCAAGAGAGATGAAAATATATGTCCACACAAAAACTTGTACACAAGAGGTAGAAACAACCGAAATATCCATCCACTGATGTATGAGTGAATAAAATGGACAGTATCCTTATAATGGGATATTATTTGGCCATAAAATGGAATGAAGTACCAATACATGCTACAGTGTAATGAACTTGAAAAACAATATGCTGAATGAACAAAGGCAAACACAAAAGACCACATATTTCATGATTCCATTTATATGAAATGTTCAGAATAGGCAAGCATATAGAAAGGAGATCAGTAATTGCGGAGGGCTGTGGGGATTGGAGGGAAATGGAGAGAGACTGCTAAAAAGTTATGGGAATTTTTTGTAGACTGATGAAAATGTTCTTAAATTGATTGTGATGGTGGTTGCACAATGTTGTGAATACAGTAAAACTACTAAACTGTACATTTTTAAAAGGTCACTTTTATGGTATTTTAATTCCATCTCAAAAAAGCTGTTACGAAAAAAATTTAAATGAACATAAAAACCTAAAGAAGAATAAGCAGCTGCCTCTCCCTCCACATATAGCAGAATAGGTGTTTATCTGAAAAGAATAAAACTGGGGCCTTTTGATTAGGTAACACCAGGTCCAGTTGAGAGCAGAGCACCATATAAAAAGCAAAGAGATTACTTGAATATTTATGTACCAAATTAGAGACTTTCAGCCTTCTTCCCGCACTTTGCTACAGGAACACTGGCAGCCAGATCCTTATTAACCACCCTGAGAAAAAGGACCTAAAGACACAGGTATTGAGGATTCCCCCAAGGAAACAGCTTGAGACAAATCACTCAGTAATGAGGACCATGTTCAATACACCTACATAAGTGTAGGAAATTTCCAATGAGCTTTTTAGTGCTTATTCCTAATGTAAGTGGACAAACAAGTATCACCAAACCTTGAAGAAAGTAAGAGGAACAAAATGAAGGGAAAGAAAAGCAATCTGAAGAAAACAAACTATGCAGAGAGGAGAAAACTATAGTTAATGAACTTTTGAGTACTGTCCACTTTTTAGAGATTATAAATAACACTGCTATATACATTAAGGTACAAGATTTTATCTGAATTTACCAAAAACTATTAAATTGTATACTTTAAATGAGTGAACTATATGCTTTGAAAATGCTATATTAATAAAGCTGTTTAAAATTAAAATAAAAACACATAACGGCAGAAACAAAATCCTCAAGAGAAGGACTGGAAGATAAATTCCAGAAAATAGAGCAAGAAGACAAAAAGCCCAAAAATGGAAAGAAAAGATAATTAAAGGACTTGTCAGGTTATACAACATCTGTACAATAGAAATTCCAGGAAGAGAACAGAGAAAATTGTGTGGAGAGAATCAAAGAAAAAAATTCAAGTAAATTTGGATAAGAGGTTCTAAATTCAAAGGAATCACTACAAGACTAGTATAATGGATGAAAATTGTGCTAACATCATGACATAGTACTGTGAAATTTCAGAACCCTGAGAATAAAAGAAGTTTCCACAAGCTTTTAAAGAGATGAGAAAAATTAGGTCACATGCAAAGGAACAAAAATCATAATGGCATCTAATTTTGAAACATCAACACTGGAGATTATTATGCTTGGTGAAGTAAGTCAGTCAGAGAAACACAAATGCCATATGATCTCACTTACATGTGGAATATAATGAACAAAATAAACTGACGAACAAACTAGGAACAGAGGCATGGATACATGGAACAGACTGACAGATGTCAGGGAGGAGGGGACATGGGGGCTGGATGAAAGAAGGTGAAGGGATTAAGAAAAAACCTGTATGTACAGACACAAACAACAGTGTGGTGTTAGCCAGAGGGAAAAGGGGGTGGGAGTGGGTGGAGGTGAGCAAAGGGAGGGTAACAGAGATGGAAAGAGACTTTGCTTTGGGCAATGGTCACACGATACAGATGATGCTTGGTTGAATTGTACAGTTGAAACCTGTATGGTTTTTTGAACCAGTGTCACTCCAATAGATTCAATATAAAAAAGGGGAGGGGGGAAGAAAGAGCAACACTGGAAGCTAGAAGACAATGGCGCATTTGCCTTTAAAATTCTGAGGAAAATTATTTCTACATAGAATGCTATACACAGCCAACCTAGCAATCAAGTGTTAGAGTACAATAGACATATGCAGATGTGCAAGCTCTTAAAAACTTTTACCTGCTATGCACATTTTCTCAGTAAAAGTACTGAAGGATGTGTTCCACTAATCAAGTCAGCAAAACAAGGAAACAGGAGAGCCTATGCAAGAGACAGATAAACAGAGTTCCTAAAATGATATTCACCAACATCCAAAGATGACAGCTACACGATAGGTCTAGTGAATCTATCTGAGCAGTCTAGACTCCAGAAGAGATTTATTCAAGATGAAATTCAGTTTGAATGCACTGAGAAAAAATTTATGTAACTCTCACACTGGGAGAGTGTGCAGTAGAGTAATGATAAGTAGCTAGAAAATTAAGTGAGTAAAAACAACAATTGCAAGAAAAACAAAAGGTAAGGAAAAACAACTATCTTACACCACATAATTCATGTAAGCATAGAAATTACATGGTCTTAATAATTTAACAGTGTATACCAATCTAACCAAAATTAAAATATAACTATATTAGATGATTTGGAGGAAAAGTATATGTATGTGTGTGGGGGATAGCAGTAAAAAAGAGCTAACTCTTCATCTTCCATGTTGGGAAGCAGCAATATAAGCATAATATTGGAGATATACAGGTAAATACCAAAAGAAGTAGCTAAAAGAGCTAAAACTTGTTGCCTCTGGGGAGCAACATAAATGTGTGTGCATGTGGATGTATGTGCATGTGTGTGTGTTTTGGAGAGGGCAAAATGGCTCTTTAACCAATATATGTATATACTGATTGAAGTACAGGTACTTAAAGTACTTTGGTTTACCTAAAGTAGAAAATTAATTAATAAATAAGAACTATCCCAATATCTTTCAGAAAGAGTATGCCCCAAACCTGAATAATTACAATACCTGGAAAAAGGCACATTCTGAATACTTCTTCCAAACTGCCTCTGATTTGGGCTTATTCTGACAATACTTTGCATACATCTCAAAATCAGTTCTCTGTGATAAAAGAAAGATCAAAGGTATTACCAATTTGTGAACATGTATTTTTCTTATCAAGAAAGGCGAAGCAATAGGGAGTGCAGCTAAGCATTATAAGGAATGTGGCAGCTGGTCAGGAGCCCTCTTTGTAATCCAAGAACAGCATAATTATCTAAGCAATTTCATAGTTTCCACTTACCAAGTTTAAGAGTTAGAGGGACAAAAGCTTTCTCTGAATGAACTATAAAAGCAGACTCATATTTTCACAACTGTGAGCTAATAGGTACCAAGAAATACACTCTTTGTATGCTGTTAGTTGTTCGATTTCCTGGTGAATGAACTTGTAGCTAACTTCCAAGGTCCTTGGTTTATCACTGGGACATCATTGTACCATAACCCACTAGACATCTGCCCATGCTAATCTCTTTCCCTGGAATCATCTTTATTTGACCCTTATTCAATGGCCCGTCTCCTACTTACTCTGTAACATTCACTTCCTGAGTCATCTCTTCTATAAAGCCATCATTTATACCTCCAGTCTATGCATGATTCACATTTTCTTGGCCCCTATAGGACCCTTTGTATATCTTCAACGTAGCATAACTCACACTGTACACAATGGATTCCCTATTTTTCTCTGTAAATAGTCTTGGGCTTGGTACCTACATAGCCTAGTACAGTGCTTGGTGCATAGTAGGTTCTAAGTACATGGCTGTTGAATGACTAAACATATCAGAAGGCATTTATTAAACTACTACTGGTTGCCAAGGACTCTAACCTTATGAAAGATACAAAGATATATAGGATATGGACCCTGCCTCAGAGTTTTCCATCGAGTTGGAGAAAGAACTCATGAATATATGTAAAGATGCATAGTAAATGTAAAATCCCCAATGAGTAGCATAGTCATTAAGTCCTACAGGAGTCCAAAGGAGAGAGAGACTGCTGTTGCTTTGGGAAGAATTTGAACATAGTTTAAATGTGTTTAAATTTAGGGTATGTTGAAAAAGGTAGCAACACAAATTTCTTTCTTAACCATATTATTTTCTCAGTCCATAAACACTTTCTAAGATATCTATTCAGGAAGCTTTCAATAATCTCTTCTATCCAATTGAGTCTGAAATTAAGACAGAACTGATATTTCAGGAACAAGAAGAACTAGATAAGCAGAGAACATTCTGAGAGGAAACTCTAATGGAGGAGAGTATGATTACAAAACTTGGGAAGTCAACTATATTAAGTACACTCTTGGGACATGGAGAAATGAGCCTCCCTGAATGATCTGATAGAATAAAAAGAACAGGCAGCTCTCAGTGTTGCAAAGTTCCTGTGATAGATGCCTTGGGTCTGAAAACCAGAGTACATTTGATTCTACTAAGAGTTCACATGTATTAGAGGGGAATACTAAGGCATCTCTTAGGCTAAAAATTAACCAAGCAAGAATGGTTGTGCTAAGATGAGTCCCAACTCACATCTTCATAGCTTGGATGGTCCTTGGGCTCCTGGGATCACCCAGGGGTCAATGGTCACAAGCTGAGCCATTGAAGCATTTGCTAGCACAGAACACAATGGCTATTTGCATACTCTCGATATCCCTTTGCAATACTTTCTGTAACAAAGCCTGGTTTAGCATTAAATACTTGCTGGAGTAATGTGTCTCCTCTGAAAACATAAAGACATAAAAAACAATACCTACCTTGTCCCTAAATCTGTTCTTATAAAATAAGCTGCTATTTTGATGGTCCATATTTATATATTTTTAAATAATAATTGAACTAACCCTTTCCAGGAAACAAAGTCCGACTCTTTCTGGAGCATCAGTACAGTTTTCCAGACTGCTCATGAAAAGGCTATGAAAATTTCAGAGAAAAAAATAATATATGTTTATGTGAAATAAACTGATCAATAACCCTTTAAATAATATCATGAAAAAGAAAATTCAATACAGTAATTACATACTTGCTATGGAATTCATAGATTTCTGCCATATTTCCAAAGAGAACATCCTTTTTATTTCTCAGGAGAGGTGGCATAAGAGCAAACATCTCTGGATTATCCATCTCTGATTTATAACCCTACTCAAAATAAATAAGTTTATTCATTTAAGATATATTCACATCAACAGTTGATTGGACCACCAAAGGTATAGGTACAGCAAAATGTATAGGGGATTAGTGAGTGCAGCTGTTTGTCGTTTTAACATTCAAATATTCTAGTTCCCAAAATTATCCATTATCACTTTTTTTTTTTTTTTAAAGTAGAACAAGGAAGTGAAGGTTTTCCACTCAATGGGTAGAATAAAGTCATAGATCTTTGGCCTTCAGGGTAGTTTATAGTACAGGAAACAAAATAGAAAGCAAATATGAAAAATTATATTACAGGTCATTAACTTCTAACTTAAGCTAGCAATACATGTTTAGGTTTTTTTCAGACCAAATTCATACTATGACATTTGTATGAAATGAATGTTATTGCATTTTTAGTTCTTTACATCACAATCTCTGAATAGCACCATGGGAATAATTAGAACAATCTGATGTATCACTAAGAGAACAGCTTCTCTCCTCTATAATAAATTCTGAATCCACAATTCTCACACCTGAGGGAGAATTTGAATACACACATCTGACAAACATGCAGCTCAAAGCAGAGCAGAAATACCCACTTCTGCCATGTGCCAATCAAGGAGGCATGCAGAAAGAGAAGACTGCCCTAAACACTTCCTAACAGATGTAGCAGAGGAGCATTTGAGAAAATACAATTTGAGCCCCTTACCAACAAAACAGTAAACAGCTCACGAACATAAATCTTCTCGGTCTGTATCAGCTCATTTAGAACATGGCTAAAATGAAAAGACCATATTTATCAATTATTTTATCACTTTAGAATTGTATTGCAATATTTCAGTTATTATCATTATAAATTGTCCAGAAACTACCAATAGTTTTGGTTTATATTATCAAGATACAAAATTAATTCTATGGTTTCCAGAATAAGTACCAAACACAAGATTCTAAAATATATTTAAAAGAAAGGGGAGTGGGACTCAGGAGTTATTTTTAAATTAAAAAAAAAAACCCTACACACCTTTATTTCTAACTCACTAAGTTTAAGAATCAATTTACTAAAACCTCACAAACTCTACTCCCAAAAACCTGTGAAATACTTTTTGGGGAGCAGCACAGTTTCTGAGCTATAGGTTCCCTCTCTATCTCCCTTTCCCTGAAAAAGAAATATTAGCAATTTATGCACAATTTTTTCCTTTTCCCAGTAATGTTCTGAAATTTTCCATGGATTATTATACTGGTTTTCCCAAGTATAAATCATACTTAAGTTTTGGTAGTAATTTTGATTACTATCTCTTTAGAATAAAATACATTTTCCCTCCAATGCTATTTCCAATTGACATCATATTTAAAATTCATTTTCTTACTCCCCACTATAGGTAAACCTTTTAATTTAACTTCTATCTTTAGCCTTTTTACCTTTTAAGCATTAACCTTTAACAATCCTTAAAATATATATACACATGTATACATACACACAGGGTGGAGCAAAGGTAAGTTTACAGTTGCTTGTATGGAAAATAATACAATTAATAAATAGTAATATAAGAATAAAATCCTTTCATGTACTCACAACTGTAAACCTAATTTTGCCCCATGCTGTATATGTCTACATACACATCACTCTAACATATTGGCTACTTACAACTCTATGATATAAAAGGTAAATATACTTATCTCTGTAATATTAACATAATCCTATAAAATTCAATGAAACAATGATTATTAACATCTATATAATAACACTGTATATATACATACTCCTTCGTAGATTTTGAAACACTGTCCCATTTATTCTGACCTCTTTTACAGAAGAGACTAAGGTTCCGAAAAGGTCTAGTTAATTCTCAAGTCACATAAATAGAGCATATGTTGGCCAGGTCTAAATCCAAGACCTCTGACATCTCATCTAGTGCTCTTTTCATCACACCCCGTATAATCCCATTCTGTGAACTCAAAATCCCAACCATGTCCACCTTGGACACTGAATCAGTGACTTCTACTAGTAGATGTGTATATGAGTGCCTGTTAATAAATAAATACTTCTTTAAAATATCCAAGGTATTGGCATTGCTCAAAGTGGAGGATGGACCAGCACTTCTCTTCTCCAGAGAATCATGAACCACTTCAATCTGAAATGAAAATAAGTTAAATTAGTATCTAAATAGGTATAGTTCTTCTTTAAGAAAATCTAGCTCAAATTAAGTTTTCTCTAGATCCTGTGTAGATAAATTGAAAGTAAAAATTGATTTGAGCTGCCTAAGAGGATAGATTTAAGATACTAATTAGAATTTATTTTATATATTAAGTAATGTTTCATTTATTTGGCACTTTGGCAAAATGAAGTTAATTCATAAAAAACCTTATTGTGCAAATAACTAAAGTTTATTTACTGGAGAACCAAAATGGCTTTTCAAACTGAAGATCTGTTAAATATTTTATTGATTTTTTTGAGAGAGAGAGAGGGAGAGAAGCATTAATGTGAGACAGAAACATGGATCGGCTACATCCTGTACTCCCCCTACTGGGGACTGAGAGCTCAACCTGGGCATGGGCCCTGATCAGGAGTCGAACCCGCAACCCCCCAGTGCATGGGGCGATGCCCAACCAACTGAGCCACACCAGCCAGGCCTCAACCTTAATGATTTTTTATGGAAACCTTCCTAGGAAATATTTCATGAATGCTTTTCCTAATCATTCAGTGGCATCAATCATGAACATGAATGATATGAGAAAAGCTAATGATACACTGCAGGGCTAGTAAGATGTGCAGAAATGTTGTTTCTTGAAATGGTTATAACCTGTTCATCTGCCACATGTCAGTTGTTGCCATAAGTGACTTCCCTGCAAATAACTACTAACTTATTTGCAGACTCTATGGGACTTGGACTGCATTACTGACTCAACTGCATGAGATTTATCACAGAATGAACTGATTTGCTCTTCAGAAGCATCTGAAGCTGTTCCAGGGATCCTGGCTGTATTGGACAGCTGAGACAAGCAAAAAGCCTTAACCTCCAAGTAAATGTAGCGTTACCTTGTAACAACTAGAACCCAAAATCAAGTCCAGGATCTATCAGCTAAAATGCATTTCCACAGAATATGACCTACTTATTACAAATATAGGTGGAAAGGAACATTATTTTATATATATTGTACAGGCACAGTCCTAAGTCTGTAACACACGTCATTACATCAAACTCTCACAGCAATTTAGTATGCTATGGCATGCTTATTTCCATTTTACAGATGGGAAAACTGAGGCTCAGAGGGGTTTAGCAACAGGGCCAAGGTTCATACCTAGTAAGTAATGAAACAGAGTCAAGCCCATGGTCTGCCACCATTATCATGCTCCCTCTTTAAGACTGTGCTTTATGTCTGTTCATTGTACCAACTATTATCATTTTAATACTGTAATTAAGACTGAAAATACTGCATACTCCACTTATCAGATAGGTGTGCATCATTAACTTCTAAAGGGTTTCTGAAATACAAGTTTGGAAAGTTCTGAAACAAATATATAAAGATTGTGCAAGTTGACTTGAATTGGATGAATACTGTGCATTTTGGAACCAGGTTCACCAGCTATAAATGTCACCATGAAAATGTACAGAGCCACAGCCTCCTATTTTTCCCCTGGATATATGCAAATGAATAAATACACATAGTGGAACATTAAGGTAGTCATGAGTTAAAAATAGAACTGAAAGACATGTGAGATGATGGAATTTGACATTCAACCCGTTTCCTTCTTGAAACCAGTTGTGGCTGTATAACATGATAACCAGGCATGGTATGTCAGTATAGGCCATTCACTAGCCTGCCAATAATTGCATAAACCCCTTAGAACACTACCATATGCCACACATCATTCAAAGTACTTCACAAATATTATTGTATTTTCAAATTAACTCCATGATGAGATGTTCTATTATTATGCCCATTTAACAGATAAAAGCCCTGAGTTCCAGAGAACTTACCCAAGGTTATACAGCCAAGAAGTGATGGAGCTGGGATTAAACTCAGGCAGTCTAGCTCTATAATCTGTATTACTATGACAAACTGCCTCTTGGAGATATGTTCTTGTCTTTATTTACCATCACAAACACACAAAGAAAATGTAGGGTACAATTATGATCAGGATACTCTCTGCAGATACCAGAATATTATGGATAACAGAGAAGGAATCGTGTATTATCAAGAAATGAATAGATGCCTTTTTTCAGACCAAAGTATGGTCCCTTACAACCTGTCCTTTATCCATGCTTCTTACTTGCAGTAATGAAATTTATGAAAGAAATCCCTTTTATTAAAATGTGCAACACTTATTTATGGTTATTGAAGTGGGGTGGGAGGGAAAGAGATGCTGGAAGTTACATGAGATATTCTACAAAAATTATTCTGAACTTGACCCAAGACTTGAGAAACTACTCATACATCTGGGGATATGCCAGGACTGCAATTAGACACAATGCAGCAGCAGCTTTTTCTTTTAGATTAAATAGGCTTTCAAATGCACAATAATGGTTGAATAAATTAAAAATATGGTTTAAGCCCCCATTCCAATTCTGCAACCACAGCAATAAAGCCAGGTTTGACTTAATTAATGATATTTACTTTTAAGTTGCTCTGATTTTGTTTCCAAGTCTTCTTGCCTGGGAGAGAAATGTGAAAGAAGAATTTCAAACCAGAATGAAAATCAACACTTTTAATAAAAATACATGCTTGTTAATTAAAGAGATAGTAATATTACAATGTGTTTATATCAGTATTTTTTAAACCATACAATGCAAAACAGTTGGTTAAAATATTAATATTTTAACTTTTAATATTATATAAAATTATTGAGTGCCTATACTATATGTTATCTCAACTTCTTATTGAGTATAATTTTGCCATATATTAACCCATTCTTTCACCAAACATTCACTTGATTGCCAAGCAAGCATGAAGTTAGGTGTTAGCACACATGATTTATTTGCAGATTTAGTGTTCATTTGGACACATAAGCATTTAATCAGATTGTAGCTCACTGATTAACTGGGTCAAAAGTTTTGAAAAAAATCTAAATTTAACTAATAATTGCAGCATTTATTTGGCACTTATGACATGCCAGCACTCTAAGCCCTACACATGCATTTTCTTTTTTAATCCCCAAATCATCTTAAGAGATAAGTACTGCTTCTACCCCCATTTTAAAGATAAGTAAGTAAGGTTAATATTTTGTCAAAAAGCAGAGGTGGTATTCAAATCCAAATTGTCTACTGTCAGAATCTGTGTTTCTAACCAGTATATAAAACAACATTTCTGAAGCATGTTAAGATACTAAAACGAAACAAAACAAAAAACAACTTCATCAAAATTCCAAGCTTTAATCTTTCTGTTCTTCCTGTTTAATCTTTTTCTTTCTGTTTAATCTTTCTCTTCTGCTTAAAAAGGGTGAACCCCTATATTGTTAAGCAAGGAGTCCAGATGTTCCTACAAAGCCCAGAGCACGATCCACTCAAAGACTAGGTCATTTAAGCTCCTAATTCTCAGGGCTGCTGAAAAGGCTGCCACCCACACAGGCTGTGTGGATCTCTCCTCTCCATGGAAGGAACATACTTTTTGTCTTTTCCTCCTCAGCAGGAGCCATTACAAGGCATACTCAGGGAAAGGCTATGCTATTATGTTCTCTAAATTTTATACTTCACTTTCATTTATTTAAAAATATATATGTTATGTTTATGTAATCATATACATAAATATAAATTAGACTTACTGGCAATTACCTTATAAAATCAATTTGTCAATAGATACTGATGTCTACCACTTTAAAGACACCTGATATAGAGAGCTGAACTTATTTATAAAGGTAAATTAGGAAGCTTCACTAACTAGCTATACTAATTCTTTGCAAATACATGATGAAAAAAAAAAAACATTTACAAGAGGAATGCATCTTTTTCTGAAAAGCAAGGTAGATAAACTCATTATTTTTAACAATGTTAATATTATATAAAATTGAGTGCCTATACTATATGCTAAGCTCAATATTTGGTGCTAGGGATACAAACATGAATTGCACACAGACCCTGCCCTTACAGATCTTACAATCAAGAAAAACACAAAACAGGACATAACACTAAATTTGAGAAGAAATGAAGGGGGACTTGTTATCACAAAGCTTGAATATCTAACTGAACCGGGTACAGGGGAGGAGAGGCAGGAAGGTAAAGCTTATCTTAATGAAGTGGCCTAGAGATAGGAAAATTGATGGAGTAGGAGCTAGCAAAGGGAAAAGGGAGAGGGAAGGGAACAGTGTTCCTGAGAGAGAACAGTATGTGTCAAGTCCAAAGGCAAGATAAATAGGGGCATTTGAGAAGGAAAAGTAGTGAAATAGGGAACTGCTGTAGTTGTCAAAGCAATAGATGATGTTAATTTGGATTAGGGAAGTGGCAGTGAGCAATAGCAGTGGGAATGGAAAGAAGTGCATTTTTTTGATTGATTAGAGGCGGGGCATGAATGAGAAGGGGATGCTGAGGGCCAGGGAATCATGGTGCTGTTCACTGAGATGAGGGACACAGGAAGAGCAGTGATCAGTCTGGGGTATGCGGAGTCTGAGTTGTCTATAGAAAATTTGAGGAGGCAAATTGTAAATGCAGGCTTGAAGATTAGAAAGATCTAGACTAGAGTTACAGATTTAGGAGTTCAAATCATATTTTACCCCTCACGGACAATGTTCTTCCATAACTTCCCTTGGTATTAAATGTTAATTCAATAAATACTTATTACATCCTACTAGGTGCCAGCAGGCACTGTGCTAGGTACAGGATTCTATTTGATGCAAATTAATAAAAATAACAAAAACAGTTTGGCTTATTTTATGAAAAATTAACACTTATGGTTTGATTTGACCAAAACTTATATATTTGGCTTAGCCGTTAAAAATCTTGAAGAATTATTTGGAACTGAGCATTATAATCCCCATTACTCACAGAGCAATTAGGTAAAATGAATGATGTTTGTAGCATAAGTAATGCTTTGATTTAATTTATAAACCATGACTGACGATGAATAAAATCATTTATCTAACCATGTCATTTATTCAGTAAGCTGCCTTCTTCCTCATAAATACATTAGGCAGTCTTAAATTGCAGCAAATCCAAGCTACTCCCAACAAATAATTTTATTGTGGATGACACAAGAGTCTATAAAATAAAAGAAAGCTTGATTTATTTTAACATTGCAACTGTTTTCCTTGTTTTCTTTTTATGAGTGGTCATTTGATGGAAAAGCATAATTTACTTTTGATATAGTTATTTTCCAAGGCTAAGTTTAATACAGAGAGAATGGATGGTTATTATGAAAAAGAGATAAAGTTAATTGTGGGCATAATGCAAGGATGAATACTGCTGGTTTTAAATGCCAAACGGGTTTTTCATGTAAAAATGTACTGATGAAAAGTAATAAAGATGGGTACCTTTCAAAAAAAAAAAAAAGTTTACATGCTTGAAAGAAAGAATATCCAATCCCCACTACAGAAAGAAAGTGTAACACCATTAAATAAGAATATCAGAAAGAAAAATTATACACAAAACAAAATGCACTTTTAGTGATTAAGGCCGTGAGTGGGATTTGGACAGTGTCTTCAGAACCCTGCTCCTCCACACACAGTGCAGCACTGCCACAGTCCCTTCAAAGGAGCTGAGCTTTTAGAAGACTATAAAGAAGCCTTAGTCAGAAGGAGAGCATAGTCTAGTTTATTGAGTACTTCTTACATTCTACAATTTTTTTCACAAGAACCCTTTGAAGTCAGTAGGTGTTAGTGTTGATTTTACAGATAAGGAAACTGAGGTTAAAAGAGGTTAAGTGAACTGCCCAAGGTCACATAGCCAGTAAATGAAGGCAGAAATCTGAGGTCTTAGGAATATGAACCTGTTCTATCTTTATTCTCATAGTTATTGGTGTTTAGTCCATCCCTTATTGGGTTTTTTGTTCTTTTTACTTTTTCCCACTATCATCTTAGTCAATGTTATTCATTTATGGGGTTGTTTATAGTTTTGTGAGTATATTTTTATATTTAATAACTGTTAATCATATAACTTTGATCATCTTAGCCTAGTTACCTGCTTTCCTCACCTCTTTTTAATCTGATCCATGCTGGGGATGGGCTGTATTTTTATACTCATTATGACTGGCTCAAGCTTTCTCTGAATTTCAAAGTAGTTCCCATACATTAATAAAGTTTCTGATGCTCTTAGATCAGAGAGATTGAATCTAGTCCCACATCCACCCATTCAACTTATTTAAGTCCCCAAAACCTAATCACTCTCTCAGCCAAGAGGGTAGAGACTGCTCAAGGGAAACCTTGAAGCAATAGAGTCACCTCATTTCCAGAGTAGTCCAACATAGTGAGGATAATTATTTTATCCCACAGAATATAGAAAAGAAAATGGATATTACATGATTAAAATGGGTCAACAAAGATTAAAACCTGAAAGTGGACTCTGTGGCAGGTATTACCAGCAAAATTATTCTATTTACTTACACTTATTTAGAAAAGGCAATCCATTCTATTATATAAGCCATTCACTTACTAGAAGTTTATAAGAACCAAGTTATAGTTTATTGAGGTAAGTAGTAAATATGCATCAGTGTGTGCAGGCACACATGTGTACCAGTTCCATATGCCTTCCTCCATCTGCTCAAGAAAAGGTTGAATTTGATGGTGAAAATGTTCACACTCATTGCAAGGCTGGACTATTGAGTACAGATTTGCATCATCCTGTACTATATTATATCACCACTGTGGAACTACTGTATGATAGTTTCAACCACAACTCCTGCCTTGTGCAACGTAATTAAACATGATAAAGGATGCATAAATAAAATTTCAATTTATCAGCATTGAAAAATGAATTCAGTATTTACATCAAGAGTAACAAAGTAAATAAGAGCAGGAAAAGAAAAGGTAAAAAACGTGAATGTAAGATTCTTTACCAGGTTTAGGTGAATAAAAGGGTGTTTTAGATCTGATCACTTTGTTGGAAGCAGGCAACACAAACTGGATTGGCCTCACATGCTCATCTTTCAAGTTCTTGAAACCACCTTGTTGGCTCCCAAATACAGTTTGAATGCTTTCGAGCTTGAGTTGCACAGTCTGAATTTGAATCTACAGGTTGCATAAGAATTTTATGAAATATTTTCTGAAATGGGGTCATTACAAATACTATAAGATTTCTCAGACCCAAACAGTCAAAAAATTAATGTAGAGTTTGAAATATAACTAGAAGAAATTTAGGAACATAATGGAAACAGATTAACATATAATCTCCACATGGTTATAAAACCAGAAGATCTGAACCAAAACAAATAAAAGAAGAAATGCATCAAGCAGTCATGAAATAGGTCACTGCATCAAGTGATTTATCCTTCAAGACTGGAAGGGATATTGGCTGGAAAAGAAGGCATGTTTAGCATGAGAAAGCTACCAAGTTAAGTACTGTCACAGTAGTTTATGTTTTAGCCTACAGGATATTCTTTAGTTCTTCATGTGGTAAAAGGCTCCTCAGAGCCATGAGGATGACTTGGTTATTGCCACAGCCATGTTTCTGATTTTCTGAGGCATTCCCTAAAATCTACAGCTAGGCATAGATTTAGATACTGCTCCAATCTTCGAGTCACTTAGACACTTTAGCAGCAAACAGCATCAGAAATGCGCTTATCTACAATGTGAAGACAGTGCTTCATGACATCTCCAATGAGGTGGTACTGAGCAAACCTAAAGCTCTCCACCCTGCCAACAGCAACTTCCACCTGCTCCCTGCCACCAGGCAGACCCAGATCATTTCTTTAAACCTTCCTTCTCAAACTGAGAAGCAATATCTGTATCTACAGAGCATCTGTTGGTGGTCACTGCAGCACAAAGATGTTTGGGATAGGATGCTCTTGACATAGGTCCAATATTCTCCTATGAAAGCTTTGGCCTTTCTCCAAGGATGCACAGGAAAATGTATGTTAGAGCTCCTCATATGTGAAAAGAGTTTTAAAAAAATGGAGGCAGAGCTCAAAAAGGAAATTACTCTTCATTAAATAGTAAGAATAAACCTTTGGACTTTTTAATGCTTAACAGTGGCACTGATATCACCCCTAACTCTTAAGAGAACTGTGTAATTGCAATTTGATATAAAGTTAGCTGTGAAGTAATAGATCTCTTATCAACACTACTGTAATTATAGTTTTTAAAAATGTGTTTACTTAAAAAGAAACCTCTTACCTTGAATTCAGGAGATAAAATTACATCAAATTCATACTGTAGCATTTTAGTATCATAACTTATAAAGGGGCAGAGCCATTTCAAGAAAATGTTTGCTATCTTGGAGGGCTTTCTGAGCATCTTCTTTAGACTGAAACTTATTTATTCCCTGATTAGCTAGAAGACATTCTTCATCACAGCACTGAAAAGCCTGGTGAGCACGCATGCATGCATGCACACACACACAACCATGTTTGAATGGAAATACAGATGTTTGTCCCTTAAGACAGTGTTTATCAGTTTATCAGTATTGGCTTCTGTCAATCAGGATTACTTTCAGAGCTATTAAAAAATAAAGATATCTGAAGATATTTGGGTTGGGCCCCCAGAAATTCTGATTGATTTTTAGCTCAGGGCTATAAGCCAAGTATTTACATGTTTATAGAGCTCCAAGGGTATTTCTGAGGCACAGCCAAGGCTGGGAAGCACTGCGCTCATTTCATAACAAGGAAATCATTCTGCAGCAGCAGCCTTATCATTCTTTCAATACTAATATTTGAGCTGCATGCAATTTTCCCAAAATCAGTAACTGAAATATGAAACTCTTAGCAAAATAAAAAGTATAGTATAAAAGCATAATGACTGCCCAGGATAAGGAGAGAAGGATATCTACAGATTCAAATGTTCCTGTTCAGATATGATGCCTGTGATAGCCCTATTTTATGTTCCACTGCCAGGAGCAGGTCTTCTCTTCCTGCTTACCCATGAATGGGGTCAGACCCTCAAGCCATGGAGGAATATTTTCCAGTCACTGTTTAATTTTTTATTGCTGTAACTATGAAATGTGGTAGGAATTTCAGGCTTTAGAAAAATGCCCCCAGGGCTTTTAAAAGTGTTCTAACTGCAAACTATCAGCAGAGTAGAGGCTTCAGAGATGTACACAAAATAGAAAGGAGCCATCATAGCCACGATCTCACTATTCAGAACAAAGGCCAAAATTCTTACCTTACTACACCTGCTATGAATTATGTAGAGTTAATATGGATTAAATAAGCATACTCAAACTCAGACTTTTTGCAAATTTAATTCCAAAGCTATACCAGACCCTGACCCTATAACCTCTGAGAAGGGCCCAAGAAAAATATTTATCTTCTTTTTCAGAAATGCATCATGTCTCATGACACTACCTGCTGTAGGAGGAGTTTATGCATTTTGAAGGTCCTGCTGAGCTGTATCCGTTTGCCTTTGATCTCATTAACCAAAATATCAGAAAGATAACGTAGCTCGTTGCACCTCTGGCAGATCAAATCAAGTGCGTAATGGTGATTTGATGCAAGTCTGTGTCCATGTAAAATCACAAACTGGGCCTTTGCTAATAGATCCTGATTTTAAGAAAGAAGTAAAACAATAACAGCATGATCTCTGTTCGAAGAGGAGGGGGGAAAGTAATTAAGAAGCAAATTGGTTGAGCAAAGGGATATTTTTCCAAAAACATGATTTGGAGTCATACTTCTGCAGCCTGCAAAAAAGCTTACAGTTACAGTAATTAGCTATAGCAGTTGATGCCATCAGAAGCTCACGCATTTCGGGTAACATAAAGAGAAAATTATCCAGCCTCCCAGAATAGGAATGAGATTTGCTTCTCATGGGTTGTACAGATTTAGAACAGAACCTCATATATCAAATGAGGTACACCAGCCAAAGAAAGCTAATGGATTTCACACATCTCAGCCTTGGAAATCCTGATAGTCATCATCCACCTGACTCCTTTGCAGACCTGAAATGAACCTGTCACAGGGTTTCCATGTCAAAAGGGATCAGCCTTGCCTCCACATCAACTGCTGACCCATGCCCAGCGTAGTGACAAACATAATAGTGGGCAAACCAGGGTCAAAAAAGGAAGTCGTTTAATGGAATAGAGTTCTAGTGTTGCAAGATGAGAAAGTTTTGAAGGTCTGTTGCACAACAATGTGAATATACTTAACTGTACACTTAAAAATGATTAAGATATTGAATTTTATGTTATGTGTCTTTCTCCCTAGTTTCCAAGACAGTTTGCCTTCTCTTTCTACTATACCATAGTGATTTGTAAATTGCCCCACAATCGCAAAGATCTACAAAAGCACAATTCCAGAACTGGTCACCAATACTGATACCTCAATTTGTTTTTTCATGCTTATGGTTCACCCATAAATCTGTTTGCTGAGAACATACTTTAAAAACCATGGCCTTGCCCTCACATACAAGACAAGAGAACAAAGCTTGAGTTTGCTAAGTAGTAAAGCCATGAGTCCAAGCTTTAAGACCATAGCTGGCTCTTTTGAGTACTTACTATATACCTATATATCTCTGGTACTATGCTGAGTGTTTTATCTATAACACCTAAATGAATCCTTACAATCACTCTGAAAAGTAGGTCCTTTCATCCCCAATTTATAGATGAGGACATGGAGGCTTAGAAAATGTAATCAATTTACCTAAGGTCACACAGCTAGCAAGACTAAGTAGATCTATCTGTGTGAATGTATGTTTGGTTCGAATGTATACATCAAAAGATGGATATTTAAGGAATTATGTTCTTGTATGTTTCCATCATTTCCAAATACCAAGTAGCATTCTTGATAGACATTTTTCTAGCTTCTTCAAAATGATTTATGGTCTTGTTCCCACTGGCAGGCCTAAAACATTTCACACCATTATCTCAGAAGCCTCCTACATGACATATGCAGTGTCACCTCAGGCCCACATTGAACAGAATGGAAAACAGACCAATATTATTGAAACAGTTATATAGATTGTTGCTGAGAGATTAATCATAAGGGTTTCAACTACTGAAAAGCATCAAAATGTAACTATCATGCTCCATAAATATAATGAACATCTAAAATGTAATCTTACCTGCAAATTTTCATCTAAGTGTTCCAACTCTTTTATTTTTTGTTTTATTTGAGCTATATTCCCTGTGACATCTGCCAACTCTGCTTGTTGATTTATTAGAAGTTCAACTTCACGCACAAGCTAAAAATAGTAATAAAAATTAGTCTGAAAAGCACATAAATTATTAAGCATTTCCCTTAATAATCAAATTGTGCAGGAAATGCTATTATATAACAATATGAAAAAATTGCACATATGGAAAATATTTTCAGTTGTTTTATTCACAGTAATTGGTATGATCTGTTAAAATTTAACCTCCTAAATCAGTCTGTACTGATATCAGTCTATATTGATTATTTATAAAATATCACTATGTACATATGAGAGCATGTATATGTGGGCATGTGTGGAAGTACGTATATGTGTGTGTATGTATGTATGTATGTATGTATATATATGTGTGTGTGTATATATATATATATACACACACACACACATATATATATTCCCTAGCTCTATGGTGAATGGCTCTAGAAACAAAGACCCTTTAGTAAAAGTGAGCACGCCTAGCACCCAAATCTTGGCCTTTACTATCATTTGCCAGAAAAACAAAACATAGAACAAAACAAAAAATAGCTTCTCAGGAAAACGGCTGATTCCAGGACTGAGGCTTGGACCATCTCTTTATGCTAGAAAGTAAAAAAGTGATAAAAGTAATGTTTGGACATATCAGCAGGACATGGGAGCCAGTTTGAAACACCAAAATAATTAAGAACAGTAATAAATTATAAACCACTGAAAATCTAGGAAGCCATGAACCCAAAAACTCGATAAATAGGGAGAAGAGAAGGCCATTGTTTACCATAGCATGCCTATATGGACTGGCAAATGTGGAGGGGACACTAGAGATGAAAAATCAGCATTCCACAACTATTGTAATAAAGTTTGGTTGAATCTACAATGATTAATTGACACTAAACCTATGGTGATCTTTTCATGAGGAGCAAGATATTTGTGCGGCCTTAAATTTTACTCCTCACACATTTCCTACTAGATACAAGTGGAAAATAGTAACTATACAATGGAGAAATTCAACAGCATCCTGACTAGGTGATCAAAATCCACATCAATAATGAGGGGCAGTTGGACTTACTTTCCTCCAGATGTGATACCCTCAGAAGGACACATCACATATGTGGTGTTCTAGGTGATCATACACAGATTAATCATGAGAATATGTCAGACAAACTCAAAAAGAATATTTTATTTTAAAAAGGACTGTATTATAGTTTTGTCTATGAGGGTTGTTTTACTTAATCCCTTCACCTTTTTCACCCAGCCCAACACCCCGTCCCTTCTGACAGTTGTCTGTCCCATACATCCATGCCTCTCTTTCTATTTTGTTCAGCTTATTTTTTCATTAGATTCCACATACAAGTAAAATCACACAATACAATATACAGGTGATGTCTTATAGAATTGTACACCTGAAACCTATATAATTTTATTAACTAATGTCACCCCAATAAATTCAATTAAAAATAAAATAAATAAAAAGGACTACATTATTAAAAATGTCAGTGTCATAAAAGACAAAGAATGGCTATGGATGTTCTAGGTTAAAGGCAACTAAGGAGACATGACAACTTAATGCCATACACGACCCTCTAGACTGGATCCTTCACTGGACAGGGGGAAATAATGTAAAGGATAGTATTGCCCTGGCTGGTGTGACTCGGTTGGTTGGAGCATCATCCCGTGCATCAAAGGGTCATGGGTTAGATTTCCAGTCAGGGCACATACCCAGGTTGTGTGTTCGATCCCCATTCGGGGCATTTATGGGAGGCAACTGATCGATGTTTCCCTCTCTCTCTAGAAAAAAATCAATTTAAAAGAAAAGGTAGTGTCAAGTTGACAAAATTGGAATGCTGATGGTAGATAATACAAAAGTATTACATTATTGTTGAATGTACTGAATTTGGTAACTATATTATGGTTATGCAACAGAATATTCCTATCCTGTATATTCAAAAATATCACTAGTTTGACAATATTCAAAATTTTATGTAAGTTTAAAATTCCCAAACCAGTTTTTTAAGTTAACTTCCTAAATATACAGTCTATCTGATGTCGCTGTGAGATACAGATTGTGTCAGTGAGATTACAATACAATACAAACAATACTGATTAGAGGTAACAATGACCTGAAAAAACAGAATAAAATTGTCATATAAAATTTTAGTATGGATGCAAATTAAGATATAAATAGAGGCATAATAGGTATGTTCCATAAAAGTGTTATTTTTGCATGTGTTCAGCTGGGAAGGAGGGAGAAATACAAATATCTGGAAGGACCAAGAGCAATTTGACCTATTCTTATTTTAAGGATGATTTCATGGAGACCATGGCATTTCAAAATGCTTGAACCACAGGAGGGAAAGGGCTGGTAGTAACAGCCCTGTGCCCAGAATGCAGTGCCCCTCTCAGACCTAATCCTGCTAGAACAAATGAAATACCAAGTAAGCAAGCCATTCATGGGTAGAAAAAAAGCTGGTCACATGGAAGAGAGAAAAGCGATTTTTCCTTGGATTCCCTGGTAACATATATGAAAGAGACTGTGAGGAGCTTGGACACGATTGCAAAGAAAAGAAGAAACTAAATCTAGGGTGGTAACACTGCTGAGAGGCCGTTCGCAGAGCGAGCCGATGACGAATACCAGAGGACTTGGATCTCAGTTAAAGGGCAGTATTCTAGTTACTGAATTTTCAGCAAGTAGACTTTTTGAAAGGCATGATCTTCAAAAAGGTTTTTCTTGTTCGAAAATGAACTTTTGCCCAGTCATCTCTTGAATTATCAAAATAATTCTAGCTCAACCAAGATGAAATTAATTTTTCCACACTGAGAAACATCCAGGGTCTGTTTGCATCACTAAAATTGCAAATGGAATTCAAGGTAGTGCAACAGGTTCAGCACCTTCCATTTCTTCCATGCTCAAACCTTTCTGATATATTGAGGGGTTATGATAAGGCCATTGGATTTGAAGATATTCTCAAGGACTCGTTACAAAATAAAGTAATGGGAGAACCACACTTGATGGTGAAATATAAACTTGGTTTACTATAATGTGGTGTGATCATGGACATGTGGGGGGCGCAGGGCACTACAACTTATTTATAGTCATCCTTTTACTATAATTTTATGTACACAACATTTAAAGTATTGACACATGAGACTTGTTGCCTAAATAGTATCTGATAATTTTAAATTATTTGGGTCTTTGTTTTATGGCCATGTGATAGGTGAAAGCACTAGAGATCATTTTAAAATTCCTGAGTTATATTGAAACAAAAGCTTTTTATGCCTTTAAAAAACAATTGCTAATGAATTTTGAATAATCATTATCAATATTTGAGTCTGCAGTGTTCATAGTAACCTCTTTTAGAGTAAACATCTATAATCAACTTCAGTGGTAACACTGCAAATTAAGTACAAAATCAGATATTTATATTTTACCTTGTTTAGGTAAAATTAGTATTCATAAGAATATTTGTTTTATTGATGCTACTTTACAAGTATAGCTATTCTTTGATTCTTCCAGGTTGAAAAGTGTAAGTTCAGAGGTTTTTTTTACTTTAGCCTCGTCCTTAAAGTAAAAAATTAAAGCATTGAGCAGATCTCAACTTAAAAAAAAGAGCCCGGGAGTGGCTCAGCGGTTGAGCATTGACCTAGGATCCAGGAG